GAAATCATTATTTTCTGAAGTAGTAGATTATCATGAAAACGGAAATTTGTATTACAGAAAATGGGAAATATCTCTGCTACCAGGAAAGTTGGTCATCTACTTATCTGAAAACAGGAAATTATATCATATAAAATGGAAATATATCATAGGAAAGTTGGTTATCTACTTTTCAAAAGAAATGGATTATCTTTTTTAAGGAAGGCGTTATCATTTTGAAGATTATAAACATAAGGAAATATTACCTAATTTTCTGAAGTAGATTATCATAGAAAACGGAAATTTATTATTTTACTGAAAATGAAATATCTACCTCCTGGGAAGTTGGTCATCTACTTGTATCACGGCAAGAACTTTGTATCATAGAAATAGAAGCTACTTTCCATGGAAGTTATCTACTTGTAAGTCTCTGGAAAGAAGTAGATTAACGATGATTATCGACTTTTGAAATATTACCTTGTACTACAAGTGAATTATCATCATGAAATTATACAAAATGGAAATATCTGCAGAAAAATTTATCATAAAAAGTAGAATATCACTTTCAGGAAAGTTGGTTTAGCTATTTTCAAAAAGTGAATATCACTTTTGGGAAAGTGAATTATCATTTTTGATAGATTATCGACTTTGGGAAATATTACTAATTCTCTGAAGTAGATTGTATCATAAAAACAGGAAATTTGTATATTACAATGAGTATCTGCTACTCCTGGGAAAGTTGATTAAACTCTACTTATCACAGAAACGGGAACTTTGTATCATAGAAAATGGGAAATATCTTTTAGGAAGGTTATCCATATCTACTTTCTGGGAAAGTTGGTCATCTACTTATCACGAAAACGGGAAATTTGTATCATAGAAAATGGAAATATCTACTTTCCGAAAGTTGGTTATCTACTTTCCCGAAAAAGTGAATTATCTACTTTTGGAAAGTAGATTATCATTTTGGGAAGTAGATTATCGACTTTTTGGGAAATAAATTATCGACTTTTGAAATGAATTATCGACTTTTGAGGAAATATTACCTAATTTTCTGAAGTAGATTATCATAGAAAACGGGAAATTTGTATTACAGAAAATGAAATATCTACTTTCCGGGAGAAGTTGATTATCTACTTTCCAGAATAAATTATCTACTTTGAAAGTAATCGATTTTGGAAGTAGATTATCGACTTTTGGGGAAATATTACCTAATTTTCTGAAGTAGATTATCATAAAACAGAAATTTGTATTACAGAAAATGGAAATATTTACTTTCTGGGAAAGTTGGTCATCTACTTATCACAGAAAACGGAAACTTTGTATCATAGAAAATGGGAAATATCTACTTTGAAAGTTGGTTATCTACTTTCGAAAATAGATTATCTACTTTTTGGAAAGTGATTCTGTTTTTGAAGTAGATTATCGACTTTTGGGGAAATATTACCTTATTTTCTGAAGTAGATTATCATTGAAAACAGGAAATTTTTTCCAGAAAATGAAATATCTTCTTTCTGGAAAGTTGGTCATCTACTTTCGAAAAGTAGATTATCTACTTTTGGGAAGTAGATTGCTGTTTGGGAAATAGGTTATCGACTTTTGAAATATTACCTAATTTTCTGAAGTAGATTATCATAGAAAGCAGGAAATTTGTATTACAGAAAATGGGAAATATCTACTTTCTGGGAAAGTTGGTCATCTACTATCACAGAAAACCGGAAATTGTATCATAGAAAATGGGAAATATCTACTTTCCGGGAAAGTTGGTTATCTACTTTCCCAAAAAGTGAATTATCTACTGTTTGGGAAAGTAGATTATCGATTTTGGAAAGTAGATTGTCGACTTTTGGGAAATATTACCTAATTTTCTAAGTAGATTATCATAGAAACGGGAAATTTGTTTACAGAAAATGAAATATCTACTTTCCGGAAAGGTTGGTTATCTCTCGAAAATGTATATATCTACTTGGAAAGTAGATTATCGACTTTTGAGGAAGTAGATTATCGACTTTTGAAATAATACCTAATTTTCTGAAGTAGATTATCATAGAAAACGGGAAATTTGTATTACAGAAAATGGGAAATATCTACTTTTCTGGGAAAGTTGGTCATCTACTTATCACAGAAAACAAGAACTTTGTATCATAGAAAATGGAAATATCTACTTACCGGAAGTTGGTTTACTACTTTTCCCGAAAAGTAGATTATCTACTTTTGGGAAAGTAGATTATCGACTTTTGAAGTAGATTATCGACTTTTGAAATATTACCTAATTCTCTGAAGTAGATTATCATAGAAAACGAGGAAATTTGTATTACAGAAAATGGGAAATATCTACTTTCCGGAAAGTTGGTTATCTACTTTCGAAAAGTAAATTATCTACTTTTGGGGAAGTAGATTATCGACTTTTGGGAAGTAGATTATCGACTTTGAAATATTACTTAATTTTCTGAAGTAGATTATCATAGAAACGGAAATTTGTATTACAGAAAATGGGAAATATCTACTTTCTGGGAAGTTGGTCATCTACTTATCACAGAAAACGGGAAATTTGTATCATAGAAAATGGAAATATCTACTTTCCGGAAATTGGTTTATCTACTTTCCAAAAAGTAGATTATCTACTTTTTGAGGAAATAGATTATCGACTTTTTGGAAGTAGATTATCGACTTTTGGGAAATATTACTTAATTTTCTGAAGTAGATTATCATAGAAACGGGAAATTTGTACAGAAAATGGGAAATATCTACTTTCTGGAAAAGTTGGTCATCTACTTATCAGAAAACAAGGAAATATGTATCATAGAAAATGGGAAATATCTACTTTCGGAAAGTTGGTTATCTACTTTCAAGTAGATTATCTACTTTAGAAGTAGATTATCGACTTTTTGAAGTAGATTATCGACTTTTAGAATATTACCTAATTTTCTGAAGTAGATTATCATAGAAACGGAAATTTTTATTACAGAAAATGGAAATATCTACTTTCTGGGAAAGTTGGTCATCTACTTATCACAGAAACGGGAAATTTTATCATAGAAAATGGGAAATATCTACTCGGAAAGTTATTATCTACCGAAAAATGTTATCTATTTAAGAAAATGAATATAGCCTTTTTGGGGAAGTAGATTATCGACTTTGGGGAAATATTACCTATTTCTGAAGTAGATTATCATAAAACGGAAATTTGTATTACAGAAAATGGGAAATATCTACTTTCTGGGAAAGTTGGTCATCTACTTATCACAGAAAACGAAATTTGTATCATAGAAAATGGGAAATATCTACTTTCCGGAAAGTTGGTTATCTACTTCGAAAAGTAGATTATCTACTTTTGAGAAAGTAGATGACATTTTGGGAAGTAGATTATCGACTTTTGAAATATTACCTAATTTTCTGAAGTAGATTATCATAGAAACAGGAGAATTTATATCTACTTTCTGGGAAAGTTGGTCATCTACTTATCACAGAAAACGAAATTTGTATCATAGAAAATGGAAATATCTACTTTCCGGGAAAGTTGGTTATCTACTTTCCGTTATCTACTGGGAAAGTAGATTATCGACGGGAAGTAGATTATCGACTTTGGGAAAATATTACAATTTTCTGAAGAGTTATCATAGAAACGAAATTTTGTATTACGAAAATGGGAAAATATCTACTTTCTGGAAAGTTGGTCATCTACTTATCACAGAAAACGGAAATTTATCATAGAAAATGGGAAATATCTACTTTCCGGGAAAGTTAGGTTATCTACTTTCCCGAAAAGTGATTATCTACTTTAGGGAAAGTAGATTAGCGACTTTTGAAATAGATTATCGACAGGAAATATTACTTATTTTCTGAAGTAGATTATCATAGAAAACGGGAAATTTGTAAATGGGAAATATCTACTTTCTGGGAAAGTTGGTCATCTACTTATCACAGAAAACGGGAAATTTGTATCACAGAAAATGAAATATACTTTCGGGAAAGTTGGTTATCTACTTTCGAAAAGTAGATTATCACTTTCCCAAAAGTAGATAATACTTTCGGAAAGTATATAACGAACTTTCCCGGAAAGTAGATATTTCCCATTTCTATTAGATGACAAATTTCCCAGAAGTAGATATTTCCCATTTTCTAAAAAGACATAAAAGGTGATAATCACAAAAGTAGATAATCTACTTTCGAGAATGGGCTTTCCAGAAAGTAGATATTTCCATTTTCTGTAATACAAATTTCCCGTTTTCTATGATAATCTACTTGAAAATTATAATATTTCCCCAAAAGTCGAAATATACTTCCCAAAAAGTCGATAATCTACTCCCAAAAATGAATAATCTACTTTTCAGGAAATGAATAACCTTTCGGAAGTAGATATTTTATTTCTAGCAATACAAATTTCCGTTTTCTATGATAATCTACTTGTGAAAATTAGGTAATATTTCCCCAAAAGTCGATCACTTCAAAAGTCGATAATCAACTTTCAAAATCGATAATCTCTTTCCCAAAAGTAGATAATCTACTACTTAGGGAAAGTAATAACCAACTTTCCGGAAATAGATATATCCCATTTCTGTATACAAATTTCGTTTTTGTTAGTAGATGACCAACTTTCCCAGAAAGTAGATATTTCCCATTTTCTGTAATACATTTCCGTTTCTATGATAATCTATTGAAAATTAGGTAATATTTCTAAAGTCGATAATCTACTTCCCAAAAAGTCGCTAATCAACCTCCACAAAAAGTAGATAATCTACTTTTCAGAGATGAATAACTTTCAAGTGATATTCCCATTTTCTATGATACAAATTTCGTTTTCTTAAGATAGTAGATATTATCCCCGAAAGTAGATATTTCCCATTTTCTGTAATACAAATTCCGTTTCTATGATAATCTAAGAAATATATATATATATATATATATATATATATATATATATATATATATATATATATATATATATATATATATATATATATATGTGTTTCATTTTACCAACAAATTTGGGTCTATAATTATGGGGGTAAAGAATGAAGGGAACAACCAGTGCAATTTATTTATTAAAGTTCCAGGGAATTTGCAATAAATCATATATGATCCCTTTTTTACAAAGTATAGAACCTGTATACTGTATATAAAGTTGTCCAATATATATGAAAATCTTTTCAGGCACATATCTCCATTAATACAGTAAATGTCTAAGGCACATATTTCCATTAATATAGAAAATGTCTAGTTCCAAGTTTAATCAAATAAACCTTTGGCTTTCTAATAATTCAAAACATTTACTTTGTTATAATAATCTAACCTACAGCGTGGCTGAAATAACTATACATTTTATGTAAGGATAAAAAGTCTTCTTGTGTCCATCCTATTCCTCATCTTCTTTACTCAATGGTGTAAGTTAAAGCACCATTAATTACTGACCAAGCTTCTCCTGAGCATGATGCTGAGGGACAAACACATCCTCCTGTTGACCTTCAGCCATAAGTTCTTCAATCTCCTCCACACTGTACAGGGGAAAAATTAAAATTAGCTGCTTCTATAGTATACCTCAACATCAATCCACTCTTTCCCATGACATGAAGGTGCAGGGTTGGAAGTGGAGGGTGTTGACATGTAGAGGGATGGGTGTGGAGGTGGAGGGGCGTGGAGGTGGAGGGGCGTGGAGGTGGAGGGGCGTGGAGGTGGAGGGGCGTGGAGGTGGAGGGGCGTGGATGTTGTGGGGTGTGGAGGGCAAGGAACATAGACCAAGGTGATAAAGGTGGCAGCAAACAAGATTTGCTCTCCACTACTGATCAGCCTAACAACATTCCATATATGCAAACTCTGAAAAAATTCTGAGGGATGCCATCGTCCAACATATACAGAAAGTTGCCTCCATATCTCAATATGTAATAAACAGTGAATCCTGTATACCCACATATGATATAAAATATAACTCAATTACAAATTAGGACTTAGGAGCCAATGAAGTAAACTATCCTGAAATGAGTGGTAAAGCCTCCATTTGCCAAATCAATCATATATTTAATTACAGTAAAACCTCGATTAACCGACCACATAATGGGGGGAAGGGGCCGACGGATAATTAAATCGAAAAGGTCGGTTAACAGTACATAAAGTCTACGGAACTAAAACATACATTTTCAAAGTATCTCCCTAACCTACCTCATTTAAGTCCCTCTATTCTTTTTTGTTCATTTGCCATTCACATTTCAATAGAATTTGCTTTAAAACATTAACCACTTTAGTAAATAAATATGAAACAGCACAGAAACCGTGAATAAAAAAATGGAAAAGTCAAAGAACATGTCATCACAAAAATTGTGACCAAGTCCCAGGTTGCTGATCTGACTTTCTGCCTCATTTACAAACAATTGCAGGATCTCAATTGTTTCTCTTACTATTGACAACACAACATACATACAGGTACATTGTTTCTCACTCTTGATTTTTTTTTTCATTTTTTGCATTTCTTTATGGTTCTTTATTATTATTATTATTAGCAGCATTATCATTAATAATATTATTACATTATCGCCCCCCAGGCCCCGATGTGAGCCAGTGACCTGGTCCCGGGTGGGCTAATCCCCGTAAAAAAAAAAAAAAAATTAGGGGTTCGGGATTGGTGGTTAATCAGAAAGTCGGTTAATCAAGGTTTTACTGTATTAATAAATTTATATTGCAAATGAAACAGCTGTAACTTACGTTCATGAAATAGTACCCTGTGCAAGGTCTTCCATGCCATCGGCAGTCACAACAGTATCATCCTCAATCCGGACTCCACCAAATCCACGGAAGCGGGCTATTGCCTCGGGAACCAGAAACTGTGCCTGAGCTGGATTAGCCAATGCTTGATCCAAAAGCTGTTGTTTAAAAAATAAATAAATAAAAATATTTTTGAACTCTACAATGATGAGAAAAATATAAGAAAATTACAGTACTGTACACTAAATGTAACCCAGTACAGTATTTTCATTAAATGTACAGCCTGGTTACTCCATTAATCTAGCTGTTTGTAATGTTTTACTCTAACATTTTTATTAATAATTCCTTTCAGGTTTTCATGTCCTTGAGATCAAATACCAATCCTCAACTTTTCTGAAAATAATTGTGGAATAAGCCCTCATTATATCACTGCCATAAGAATCATGATTTGCCATTTTTCTTCCATGGTAATTATGGACCTTAACTTTATCTCATGGGAGGTCATTTACATTATCTTGCCCTGTGGTAAGACAATACAGCTTTGAATGCCCTCTTACTAAGTTCTGGATGTGGCTAACTCTGGACCTCATTTTGAATGTTAATTATACAGTATTTATAATTTACTAATAAATTTTAAAACAGATTTTCAATTTAATAGAAATAATATAAATTCTTGTACCAGAATAAATAATTGCTTCCTACTATAAAAGCAAACAAATTTATTGGCAGAGCTTGTAGTACAGTTTGCCTATTCCGAGTAATTCAGTCAGGTCTTGACACTGAGGGTGGAATCACTTCTCACTGTCACGCAGGAGAGAGGTTCACACACAAAGAAATACATCATATTCATTGACAACTATAAATGTATATAGGTCAGGTTCATATGGATAATGTCACTGTTCACTGCCATGCAGGACAGAGGTTCGTACACAAAGAGTTGCATCATATTCATTGACAGTACATATACATATATGTAAACACACACACACACATATACATACATATACGTATATACATACACATATACATCTACACGTACATATACATACAACTCACACCAACATACGTCACAACCAAAAAACAAACAAAACAAAAACACCACCAAACTGACTAACCTAGGATGATCACCATCACTCTTCCAACATCAGCCATACCCAGAACACCAGTACCATGAAAATCACACAATTATTATATATATTATTAATTTACGTTCATACAAACATTCTATGAAGATATTTAGCCTCGCTCTTCAAATTATTATTATTATTACACATACATGCACACACGTCGGTCAGATTCATGTGGGTAATGTCACTTTTCACTGCCATACAGGACAGAGGTTCGTACACAAAGAATGCATCATATTCATTGACACTATATATAGGTCAGATTCATGTGGGTAATGCCACTGTTCACTGCCACGCAGGACAGAGGTTCGTACACTAAGAAGGAAATACATCACATTCACCAGCAGCATATATGGGTCAGTGGATCACATACATTGGCAAACCGAGCCAACTTAATAACTTCATATCGTAATTGATATTTATCTTTCGATGTTCTCCTTACAGTGAAACAAAGTTTATTATGTGTTCCAGGCACAATTGTGTATTATTGTCCATTTTAATTTAGACTTAGGTTTGCTGGGGAAAATTTTAACATGTCCAGTAAGTTTTCGCAAGGTGGAAATAGCCCCCGTTGTCTCTACTATATACCCTGTCATGAAACACAGAGCTGCCAGACCTGCAGCACTTCAAGCATCACAAGTGAGAGTGAAGCTGTGAAGATGTAATTAACAATTACTTTTGTTCTTGACCGTGCACACAGGAGAGAAATGATGTTTAGGGTTCCTTTGGACCCTCTACAAATTGATGACCACTTACTGTTACATTGGCATATACTCTGGCTAAATACATCTGTTTTCAGTTTTTTTGCTAGTGGTAGTTTCCAGAGTGTAGCTGATGACGTTACTAGCTTAAGGCAATGAACTGTGTCAAGAAATATAAAGTGCATTTGCTCCAAAATACTGCAATAGTAATATTAATAATCATATTATAATTATTACAGTATTATTATTATTAACAAAAATCTCATTGGAGAAATTCAGTCTCTGACATGGGTAACTTGTGATTGGCTAATATTCTTTCAAAGTGTTTGTTCCAGGCAATGGTGATTGGTCTAGCAAGGAAACAAAAAAATCCACTAACTCCATCTAGTGGTAGCTTATTGAACTACACTTACCTGCAGTCTTCATATGAACCTATAGTGAATTGCCTATAACCAATATCGTACGATCACCATAGCTTCTCGAGATATGAGGAGAGACACGATCAAAGTTACGGGCAGTTTAGTTAATCTGGGCCCAAGTTTTGTCGATACATATGATAAATAGTTACAACACATTTAGAAAGTCTGTATACCATTTACCTCAATGACTAGTTTGATTTTTTTTTTTTTTTTTTTTTACCAAAAATATAGACTGGTTCTACCATTTAAATAATTTAAGAGTATTTTTCACTCTCCAAATAAAAAGTGTATCAGGCCCAAATTATGCCTGACCTACTACCTTGTGCTTCAGGTCAAACAGCCAAAATATAGATGTTGAAATATAATACAAAGGTATTCCTTGAAATACTTATTAAGGATCTGGGTTCAGAATTTTTTAAATTTAGTGTTAATATTGAAATAATTGCAAGTTCAGATTTCGTACATGATCAATAAAGTAGCATCCAGGTTCAATTGTGAGGACCATGTTCTCCTCTAACACCCTGGCTGTGAGAAGAGACCGGAAACCAGCTTCCTGAGGTCGAGGAGGGTTGTCTTCAAGATAGCCTCCAACATCATGCACATCCAATCCAAGGAGGTGACCCAAACCATGAGGCTGAAACACTGCCCCAAGATTTACCTGTATGGATGGTATAGATACATTTACAAATGATTTATGACATTTCTGATCAGAGGAAATGTATCTTCCCAATTTACAACTCTATCACTATAGCTGTCAATGAAGATTGTTTAACTCTAAATATATATTAATATTGAAGGACAAGACAGTAGTAGTAGACTGAGCAGAAAGTTGCTGTTGGCAGTAGATACAGATTGCTACAGCACGAGCATCAAGTACCGTACAAGTCACAATGAATCCTTGTATATTTATTATTTTATATGTATTTGATTTTGTGGGATTAATTAATTATGAACCAGTGAGCAAAATTTTTGAGCTTATCAAAATTTCCCACAGCTGGATACCAATTTAGTGATCCTAATTTTAACACTTATTGTAAAACTAAGATGGAAAATCTAATGGGTGACACCATCAAACAGTGACTGGTGGCTGCATGCAGGTGAAAATCTATAGTAACACACAACATTCCATGAGAAAATTGACTTAACCTTTCATGAAGCTTGAAGAAAGTTTTAGAGGAAACTACAACATAATTTTAAAAGGTTTCAATCAAATACAGTACGTAGGTATTGTGTCGGAAAAAGTGGAGTTTGGGGGTCGGCCCAGTCTCTATTTCAATTAATCCCAAATGTTCTGTTATTTCATTTATGCGTTTCTCGTTTTACGCAGGCCTCCACGGGTTCAATTGACCGCGTAAATGCAGACTCCACTGTATTAGTTTGCATGTAACAAGTAATATTTTTTTTTCAGCTGTATTGGAGTAAAAGTTGTATTGTCTCGATTTAACGAACTGCTTCGAGTCACCCCTTTCTGTCAAGTCGAAATTTCCGCTAAATCACATTTCCATTATTTTCGTTCGATTTAGCAAACTAGTTTGCTAAATCGAGCGTGATTCAGTTAAATTCTGCCCCAAATGTGCCACTTGGCACGTGGAGTTCGTTTACATCCGCTCAGTTTGTGTCCTCCCACCACCGTGTGTGTTGTTCACTGCTACCTGTCAGTCTACATCTCAGTCTATATCAACCACTGTGCTTAGACATCATACCGAAAGTCTCTCAGAAGTCTCAGAAAGGAAGTGCTGTGGGGTAGAAAGTCAAAAGAGTGCAGCTATCAACTGGAAAAAAGTTTGGAAATTAAAGAAAATTTGAAAAGACACCAAACCCCCTAGTTTAAGGTAAGCCATGAATAATGTTATATTATATTATATTATGTGAGGTATGTTACATTATGTTAGGTACTATCATGAACAAAAGTTCGCTCCCTGTGGTGAAACGGAGTCACAGGAATGAGTCCCCAATCTGACATACCCTGACTGTCATCTGGTGAGGGTGTGCTGTTTTATCCCATTTGGGGTCGATACTGCTTCAGTATAATTGACTGAGAATTCATACTGATCAAATGAAAAATTGCTAATACAAGCATATACAGTACAGTCTCTCCTCGACTTACGACAGGGTTCCGTCCCGACGACCAGGTTGTAAGTCGAATATGTCGTAAGTCGAGGAGAGACTGTACCACTGTATACTGTTTGACCCAGAAATTTGTCTTTTTTTTTACAGATAATATCTCAGATGCGGCGAGTGATGAAAACATACGACAGTGTTGGTCTTTCAGCACCTCAAATAGGAATACCACTCAGGTATACATTATACAGTATAGTAGCTCTTCCCCTTTACTTCTGTGTTTTGTCAATATATTTATCTTTTTATTGAATCTTTTTTTTTCGAGCATTGTTTTATGCTGTATAGTTTTCCGAAATATATTTAGTTTAATGTTTCTTTCATATTTTTGTTAATTCAGTTTATTTTAACATTATAACTTTGCATGAGATAGAGAGTGGGGTAAATAATGTTGTTAAAAAGTTAGTAAAAACATTTCTACTCACCTCTGGGGTGGAAACGTGCAGAAGTCAGCCAACAAACAAGTATGCCCCCTCAGTCTCCAGGTATATCATCCATTTGGCCCCTCGTGGATAGAGGCAATAAAAGGCAAAGAATTAGTAGGAGAATACAGGAGGCCTCACAAATGGGTAATATTAGAATAAGTAGATTTATTGTGAATTAAATGAATGAAGGAGGGAAGAGGAGGGATATACTGTACATTATACAAGTATTTAAAAAAATCTTAGATTGTAGGTTAGATACATTAACCCCTTGTGTACGGGGTTTGCTCTCTATTGAATAAAATAATTTGGTGTCCATCAAATCAAATACTAAAAGTGGAGGGGTTAGTGGAGATAACTTGTTAACCACTTGAGTACAGGGGTTGCTCTCTGCTGAATAGAATTATCTGGCATTATCCAAATCAAATAATAAAAGTGGGTTTCCCATAAGAACTTCTGCTGGGAGGAGAGCAGGAGACGGCAGAGAAAAGTGATGTACGGGAAGAAGTGAATATCCAGGTGTTGGGTAATGTTTTATGGAACAGATGAAAACTACTGTACTGTACAGTATACAGAAGGTGTGGGAATCATCATTTTACTGAGATAAGGAAGTAAAAACATTAGCATAGCATGGATAGAATGTAAAGGGGGATTGGATTATTATGCATACTGTACAGTAAAGCCCTGCTTAACTGTACTAACTGGGGGAGGGGGGCTCTGGCTTTTGGTATTTCCAGTTTGGGTGAATGTTTCTTGGGCCTCAAAATAATTCGGTACCATTTACAGCTGTACAGTTATGTCTCATTTATGCACCTTTACAGTACCTTGTGGCATTCATGTTCCATTAAACATGATAATCAATACATTGACTGAACATAACTAAAATATGAAACATGAATCTAACAAACCATTGGCTTCCTTCAGGACTATATACAGATAGACCCCGACTTACGACGGGGTTAGGGACCCAAATCCAGGTCGTAAGTCCGACATAGATAAAAAAAAAATAAAAAAATAAAAAAAAATTTAAATAAATAATCTACAATAAAATACAGTACAGTAAAAGTAATGAATAATGAGGAATGGATACAGTACAGTGAAAGTAATAAATGATAAGGAATGGTTACAGTGTGACTGAGCACTTACCTTTAATGTAGTCAGCTGAATGCACATGGGGCCCCCATAATTTTCTAATTATACATGGAGACTACATTAACTGGAAACGTTTCGGTATAGAAAATGCGTGTGTCATTTAAAAAAAAAAAAAAAAAAAAAAAAAAAATTAATAAAAAATCTGAGGCGGTCGTAAGTCGTAGCAGTCGTAAGTCGGGGTCTGTCTGTATATCACTGCAGCAGAAGAAAGAGGTCACATAGCTAAGATAAACATGAAAAAGTTAATATGTGTGTTTACATCATATTTTACCTCAACAAAGCACACCCCCATTTTATACTGTATGATTTTTTTTTATTTTTTTACTGCTGATAAAAATATATGATTTATAATAACATGAAACTGTACGTAAAGATTTTTAATTTTCTCTGCTCTTTTGTTTTGGATATGTACCGGGTATAACCCATGCAAGTGTGGAAAATGGCCATGAAACATTGATGATGACCTCTGACTGAACTTTCTCATATTTTTAAAGCAAATTTCACATGTTATTTGCAGTGAAAAGATATTAGTTATTTTTTTATAAAATATTTGTAAATTTTACTTGCATAGATAAAATAGTGTGGTGGCCATCTCTTTTAATAGTTTTGATGTCTTGCAGAATATTAGCACTTGAATTTTCACCGAGGAGGAAGGAAGAATTTAGCCCTGAAGTTTATTCTGCACGAGGAATGTCAACATTGCCATACACAGTAAGTAAGATAGTTGTTTTTTATATAAATACAGAACAGTATTTTGCATTACATCATTTTATATAAATTTTGCAATCAGAAAGAAATCACCCAATCGAATTAGAGAAACACCTGTATGTAGTTCAATGTACAGTAGTTGCATAAATGTTCAAAATATTTTTTGCAATTTAATTAACTTCAGCAACAATTTCAAAATAATGTACAGTATTTGTGGTCTCCACAATCTCCTTTGCTTAGTGTAACATTAAAACATCTTTACACCAAACAATACAATCACAGTTGTAGTCTACTATACTGTACAGTACATGATTTGAGTATAGAGTAGGATGCAACTAACTAATGGAGGATATAGAGGTGGGTTTACAGTAGTTATACAGGGCCACAGAGGGCCACCATGGACCCTGAGACTTTTAGACATGTTAATTAAGGAACCAAGTTCAAAAAGTAAAAATTCAAATAAATGTTATTAGTACATTTAGTACTTTTTAATTTCCTATTCTCTTTTCCAGGCCCCTTGAGGCCAGGCCCCTGTGTCCTGGTCTTCTTGGTGGGCCAGAGAATTAGCCTGCAAGGCACAAAATAATACAAAAACTAAATGAAGTATCAATACCTTGAATAGTGGACTGAAAATCCTGTTGCAAGTGCAGGTGACTTAGGATGTGATAGGTTACAATAACTGATGTAACTAGATACATGTACTAAACAGTGTTATGGGATTACAATACAAGGTATTTTCCCCCCTACAAAACTGTTTACACTGTAACTGATTTTCTTATTAATTTTTTGCTTTCTATTTTGTGGTTTGCTTGATTTTTATGATTATCTAAAGATGTGTGAGCCTTTTTATCTCATGAGATAGAAGCTCTGCAATTAGTCTCAATTCGTGTGCAAAATCTTAAAAAATGTTGTTTTTACAGATCATAATAAATCCACAAATGGAGATTCTTGACTACAAGAAAGTGGTATTCCCAGAGTCTTGTGAGAGCGTGCGAGGGTTTAGTGCACTGGTGCCCAGATACGAAGCAGTTAAATTAACAGGTAAATTGTTACTGTATTTGTCTTTTAACATTTCTGCTGTATCTATCTAATTACTGACTTCTCTTTGCCCTTGGTTAGCTCACTAGTTTGTTGGGTGGTCAGTCACTTCCCTTGCACTGTTACAAGAACTGGGCATGGACAGGCTCTTGAATGTGCTTTATCTAACATGTGTCAGTGTTGGTCAAGTCTGGTCTCAAATGAGCTCACACTTAGTCTAACCATCTTATCACTTTATCCATATGTCTGTCTTGGAAGAAAGGAACAGGGTGAAAAATATTCACAGAAGTGAAACAGGATTTTAAAAGTCAATAAGCTGAGGGAAGAGAATGTAGCTGAAAGATTTTAAGAAATGATGGAGACAGGGCAAAAATGTGCACATGTAAGTAGGAATGAAGAATGTGGGTTGTACAGAAGAAGAAAAGGAAGTGTCTGAGAGCCGTTTTAGGAAGAGCAGCCCAGGTGTACGAGTACAAAAAATAGGAAGGACAAATTAGAGGAGGAATGACCCAGATACATGAATTGAAAGCATCACATTTAATATAGATTTTTAATGGAGAATTAAAAATTACCTTAAGTCATTTTACTTGAAAAATAAAATTCTTCAAGATACTTTTGAATTTATTATCTTTTGCAAACATCTCTCATATTGTCTTTTTCTTAGGTATTGATAATAAAGGAGAGTCCGTGGTGATGCAGAGCAGAGGATGGATAGCAAGAATTATACAACATGAAATGGACCATCTTGAGGGAAAACTTTTTGTTGACTCAATGGACCCTAAAAGTTTTCAAAATGATGCATGGCACAGAATCAATGTACACCAAGGAAGAATTCAACTACAGTTTTATAAAAAATGATAAATTACAAAATAAGTTTTGAAATTTTATTTTGCACTGCAGGTAATAAGAATCAGTACAGTATGTATGAAACAATACAGCTAAATGAATCCAAATATGAAGCAAATTGGGGAAGAAAGCTATTGAGTGTTTAATTCAATTTTGGAGAACTTTTTGTTTATGCTTTTAGGGGTAGCCGAACAATGTTTATGTGATACAGTACGCCCTGATAATTTGCAGATTTTTATTTCACGGTCTTCAGTTATTCGCGGATAACACCCTGGATGTAGCCAACAATGTCTATGGGTAGTGTTTAAGTTGCCGGGATTTTTGTAGCTGGGACAGGGAGCCATTCGTTCTAGAGACAGTAATTTCTTTTACCTGTATTGTACATACAGGTACAGTAATATCTCCGTTTGCCGGAATCCATCAAACCCGGAACTCTCCAATAGCCGGAATTTAAATTTGTTCAGGAAATTGTTCCGAAAGCCGGAATTTTTCAAGGGGCACATTTTCTGGAAAATGACGATAAAAAATTTTCTGGTAGGTACCCGGAAAATTCCGGGGATGAGGGATTTTTTTCCGGGTTGGAAAGATGATTTAATGGCCACTTTGTGGAATTTCCGAGAAAATTTTTCTTCAACCCGGAAATATCCCATTCCCGGAAGTGCTCTGCAACATTTGTTCCAGCTAATGGAGATATCACTGTATGTGTGTGTGTTTGTCTACACACACACACACACACACACACACACATATATACTGTAAATATAATACAATACTGTATAATATACAATCAGAAAGAAATGTATAAAAAATGTTGAGTCTACCCTCAAGTCCACTCCATGCTTTATTAATAACAAAGCAGGGAGTGAACTTGAAGGAAGACTCAACATTATTAATATATATTTGTTTCTGATTATTTGTGAGAGGATTTTCCCATTATTATTTATTTGTACTACAGGTACCGGGTATGTGTTTTGTGTGTCTCTACACACACACACACACATACAATACAAGTAAAAGAAATATTTGTCCAAAAACTCATAAAGGGAATACAGTATACATTTCTTTGTACACAAGTGAAAATATAACCCCCCCCCTGGTCAGCAAATGTTATTCGCAGATTTGGCGATTCGCGGCCATTTTGAGAATCTAACCCCCGCGAATTTGGTGGGCCTACTGAATTTTTTTCAGATTTTCACATTGATATGTAAAAAAATACCATGATGTGTACATAATATGTAATATTTTGTTAAAAACTTATAAAATGACAATAATTTTTCCTTCCCTTTTATCTGTGATGCCTTACTCCAAACACAAATCTCAGGAGAGTGAGAAACCCTCTAAAAACAGAAGTTGAATCATAGTTGTTGTGTTCTCTTGTATGAGTGTTCTGGTCAATGTGTTCCTCCTGCCTAGTTGTTGTGTCCCCTTTGCCTAGTCAACACGTCCCTCTACATAATTTTTGTGTCCAGCACCTACAATAGTTGGACTTCTATTTATTTTTAATATACTTACCATACTCATGCTTTCAGACATTATAAAATGTGAACTGAAGGATATTTGAAAGGGTCCCATTTCCCCCTCCATTGTAGTGGCAGGCTGCTTCTCATTTCATGTCATTATTGGATTAACTTTCTCTCCCAAGCTGTTACCTACAACTGTATCTCATTAATGACCCTATGTGCCAATTATCAGCTTAAGAAGCACAAGGAGAGATCCCATCCCCCCATTCTAGTTGGGAACTTTGTCTTGTGACCATTCAGGTCCAGAAGTTGGGGAGAAAGATTGTCTGCAGTCAATAATTTATTAACACTGAAATTACCAGTACATCACTGTCATGCATTTTTAATTTTAATAATAATAAAATTAATAATAACAATGATCGATACATTTCTGTTACATGTACCCCTCAAATTTCTTAAGATTGCAAGTTTAGTTTAAAAAACTAAGTGAATCTTAAATTTTTTTGTGGAAGTTTAAAAGAAAAGTATTGAATACAATCTTTAATTCGACTTTACTTAGATCAAGAATATGTAGTTATGGATATAATATAGACCTTCAAGGCTAGAAATGGACCACGAAAAAAACATACACAACAGGCAGAGAAAATAATTACCTGAACTTGCCTAGCTTATACTACAGATGGGCAAGGGGTGACCTATTTGAGGTGAATAAGCATCTCAGGGGGCACTACTCAGTCGAGTGTCCTTACTTGGAGCTGGCGGATGCTCGCCTCACAGGGGGTCACAGCTCAAGATTGAAGAAGCCGCAAGTCCAGAAAACTGTGAGGGCAAACTTTTTCGGAGTGATGGTTGTAAACTCTTGGAACAATCTACCAGAGTGTTGTGACGGCACCGAGTGTGAGCTCTTTCAAGACAAGACTTGACCAACACTGGAGCGGGTTCAGGTACATTCAGGAGCCGGTGCATGCCCAGTGTTTGCCAACAGTGAGTGACAGAGACGTGACCGATCGCCCGGGCGGCTAGCGAGCTGATCTTTTGGTGAAGAGGATAAATGAAAAGAAAAGTAATCAGAGACGTGACCGATTGCCCAAGCGGCTAACGAGCCAATCAGTGGCGAAGAGGATAAAAGTAAAAAGTAATACTGTGCCTGATGATAATCTCAAGAGACCAAATAATTATTTATAAAATAATAAAAAACAATACAGCACGTAAAAATAATTTAAAAGACAGTCTCACATTAGTATAGAAAACAACGGAAGTTTGAAAATATAAAATGCATGAAAATAAAAATTATGATTTATGTAACACTCAATGGTATTTCAAATTGGAAACAACGCACTATAATGTACGTGACAAAACATTGACTTTCTCTAAAGAAAAAATTACTACTGATGTAATTTGAAAAAGAACTTAGTTGCAGTTTGGAACATGATTATTTGTTTGACATACTGTACAGTAATTCACTGAAATTTATTTGTTTTCATCTTTTCCGTCCCTTGAGGCTTCAGATAACAAGCCAGTAGTACTTCTGCCATGAATGCAAATCCTGCAAAACCTAGACCCAGCAGCAACAGCAGAAGAGGACCCTGGAGGTGTGTCAGACTTAGTGCTTTTGAGGTAGAGGAGGTAGTGATAGTGGCCAGATCAGATTCTTCATCCTCATTACTGCCAGCATTCTTCAGTTGCTTATTATCACTTTCTTTCCTGGCCCGTGACATCACATCTTGGCTCCATTTCTCATACAGCCCAGCCTGAGGAAATGTGCAAACGACATTAGGCAAGTAGACGTTACCTAGCAGGTGGAATTTAGGAGTAGACGTGTTTAGCATTATGGTTTGTTCAATTTACTTCTCTACCTCAATTGCGTGATACAAGCAAGGTAAATAAACTCAATAAGTAGGCATACAGGATACGTGAATCTCCAATAGAACATGTCTACCCTGCCAGTCTTCTGAAAGGGCGTGACATCATGTATGTGGCTCGATGTGGACAAAGTCATTGCATGTGAGTATATTACACTGTACCCTCATCAATTTGGATCGTTATAATTCAGATTTTGGCTTTAATTACTTGTTTTTCAAAATTAATTTGATGATTTGAATTCAGAAAGAATCTAAAATAAACAGGCAGTTCCGAAAAGTCGCCTTGGCTGCCATATAAAATATCCTGTTTATAGATACTGTACAAATATAAATAATTTAAAAATGTACATACAGTAACAATTAAGTAAATAATACAGTATAAATAAATGTAACACATACAGTGCAAGGTGAGCTGATAATATGTAGATGATATTCTGAAAGTGTAATGGTCACACTGGTAAATGAAGTAAAAACCCACATTGGAGAAATAAAAGACAAAATCTTGGAATTGGTGTACTAAGACCCTCTTCAGCAAACTAACAGAACAAAGAGACAAAGAAAAAGAACAAAGGAATCCGGTTATATGACCTGTCTCCTTTTTTACTTTTAATTTATTCCATTTCACCATTGATCGGCTCGTTAACCACTTGGGTGGTCAGTCACGTCTCTGTTGCGTACTGTTGGCAAGTACTGTACTGGGTATGCACTGGATCATGAATGTATCTGAACCTGCTCCAGTGTTGATCAAGTCTGGTCTTGAAAGAGCTCACACTTGGTGCCGTCACAACACACACTGGCAGATTGTTCCAAGAGTTCATCACAATTCTCACTCCCAAAAAAGTATGCCCTCACAATTTTGTAGACTTCTGTCTTCTTTAACCTTGAGCTGTGACCCCTTGTGGGGCGGGTTTCCCCCAGCTCCAGGTATAGACACCTGACTGAGAAGTGTCCTCTGAGATGCTAATACACTTCAATTATGTCACCCCTTGCCCATCTGCAGTTTAATCAAGGCAGTTGCAGGCGCTCAAATCTCTCTGGATAACTGGGGAGCTGTAGTGCAGGCACCAGTCTGGCGGCCCTCCTTTGGAATTTTCAATTAACTGACTATCTCTAGCATATTTTGGGGACCAGATGGGGAAGTACCTCACACTTGAAGATCGTTACAAGGAACAGACCGTTTAGATATCTGAACGATCTTCTTATAAGACCTATTAGTTTAGTTGCTTGATTCACCTTCTTCTCACAATGACTCAAGAACTTCAGTTGTCAATATGCATACCCAGGTCCTTTTCACATTCATTCTCTATTAAATGCAGTTTCTTTGTCATGTTGAACACATGATATGCCTTCTTACACAGGTGCATCCTCTTATACTTCATGACATTGAATCTTAGTAGCCATTTCTCCGACCACTCTTGAAATTCAGAGATTTTTCTGTAGCTCTTTACGGTCTGTTTGGTTCCCTTAAATTTTCCTTAGTTGAAGTAAGGTGGGGATTAAGGATAATCTTCTTGATGACAGTATTCAGGATCAGGTCTGTGGTTTAGTGACCTAATCCTCAATACTGCACTTATCTGTGTTTATTTCAGAAATGTAAATTTTTTAAGTTTTTTACTTTTCAGTTTCAGGTTTGGTTTCTTTATATATATATATATATATATATATATATATATATATATATATATATATATATATATATATATATATATATATATATATATATATATATATATATATATATATATATATATATATATATATATATATATATATATATTTTTTTTTTTTTTTTTTTTTTTTTTTTTTCTTGTTGGGTTAGGCTAGGTTTACACACTGGAGGTCAGGTCCTTCTGGTGTCTCTGGTTAGGTTACGTTAGACATGGCACTCCGATTGATTGAGGTATGGCATCCAGTTTCAGATGCCAGTAATATTTGGTTGGATTACAATGCAATAATTCATATTTTATATTTCAAACTTTCTGTTCACTACTGAACAAAAACTACCTTGTTTATCACTGCATTCTTCACACTAAGTCTCCTCTACATCAACGTTGCACTCAATTATCCTTGTACTATATTTCCTGCTTTAGAAAGGAGTGATATTTTTGTATAGCATCGCTCCCTGGAGGACTGTACACACACTCTTGCTCGCCCCATCAGTAAGTTACTAGTTAATAAATATTTTTTTGTTTTATTCGTGTAATTCCAAGTTCTTCTTTCAGTAATAGTCACTTGATTATAAGGGCTATCTAGATTTACACCAGAATACATACAGTACTCTGTACTTCATTGCTTTAAACCTGAATACAGTATTTGTGCTGTAGTACATGATCACTGGAGTCATACGTGACGTCATTAGCTGGCATCTTGTTCTAATATGCAGCTGTGTGTCCA